ATAATGTTAGTGCAGTTAGCATCTAAAATTAATTTGTTTAAGTTTTGGACGAAATTTGACATTTTGCGTATTTCTAGAAAATTTGATTATTATTGTCATAAAGTTGATAGATAGAGCTATACAGGTGTATTATGCCTAATTTATCATCCCATATTTCTCAAACATATATTATTGGGCTTTGCTATGGTGACTTGGGGAAAAAAGCCAACCTTTTCCTCTAAGTTGTCGACCATTGTCCATGAAAATCGATCTATCACTTCCATCAAGAGGTTGACCTATTTTATCAAGCGATCCACCGCTTCCAATGACCAGTCTACCTGATGAACCATGGTAATGACATCATCATATATAATTAAGGGATTCCAATATGAATAGTTGTATTTGCTGGTAAGAGAGTTAAAATTAGTACAAAGCTGGAGAATATATGAGAAGTTTCTCGATGATTATTCTCCTATCGATTTGGTAAATGTTCTGTATATTTATCTTTTAGATTTGATTTACTCTACAGAGACTTTCATCTAGTGATGGCAATGGGGCGGGGCGGGTACCTCAATACCCATGCCTCGTCCCACGCTACTACGGGTCGGCTCGGATAAAACCCGCGCGGGTACGGGGCGGGTAGGGTCGACCCACTCTTACATGTTATTTGGGAGAAATAAACACGCTAATTTTACTTTTTACGATAAAATGAAAGGGAAAACACTTTATGAATGGAAAATCGTAATAATATAATGTGTAATTGAGTCTAACCAGTTAAAAGATCGACTCTAACTAGTGAAGAAAAGTCAAAATAAGAGAAATAGGTATAGATATTGTAAGAAATTGAGGTACAATGGGCCAAGAACGGAGCGGGGCAGAAGTAGATACCCATGCCTCGCCCACGCTACCACGAGGCGGGTTCAAATTGCCATCACTACTTTCATCTTTCCTTCACATTCTAAGGTTGCTTGTTTTTATCCTATAGTTGTTTTGTGATAGATCAACTTTGTTGCTCTTGTTGTTATGAAGATACTTAAAGAGTAGAGTATACTTGTTATACATTTGTGTTATTTTCAACGTCTTATAAGTTTTTATTCCAAGTGTTAAAAGATGTTGTTATTTCTTTTTGTCTAAGCCTATAAATTGCGAATAGATTTGGTTGCACACAGGTGATAGGATGTTGCATTACTACAAAACAATTTCATATTATAGGCCTCATATTGTCCATTGTGTTCCTAATGTAAGTAAAAGTATTGTGGCATGTAGGGGTGGGCATTGGGTGGGTTGGGTGGATTTTGACCATAAAATACACCCATCCGCGCTTAAACGGATTGATAATTTTTAACCCACCACCCACCCACATTTAGTCTCGGGTTGGGTCGGGTGGATGGTGGATGATGCGGGTGGGTTTGTGGGTTCACCCACATCACAATGTATATAATATAAATGTGTCAACTTGACATGATAATAGGTGAAGAGAATCATCGAGGGAACAAGAAGTTGAAATAGGGCGAAAAATGTCGAATTAGTTCTTAAATTGGATAGAAATTCTGTTATGAAGAGTTTTCTACAGATTGAGACGATTATTAGGTGCAAGAAACTAAGGAAAATAATTCCACAAAGGAAAGAGCAGTGATCTAGGCACAAGAATTAGAGGAAAAAGTAAAGGGAAAAGAGGGGATCTTTATTTGGAAGGTTGACTTTGAGGTTCAAACTCTAGGAGCGGTCCGAGTTTATATCTAACGTCTCCACTCTCCTCTCTCTAGTGCCAACGACTTTGATCTTTTTGCTGTTGGGTTGAGCGGGTCACCCGCACACTCATCCACAACCCACCCACCACCCGGCGGATGGCTCCTAGCGCAACCCGTCACCCACCCACAGACCCACCAATTTAACAAAATTCGGGTCAAATGCGGGTGGGTCGGCCCAAACCCGCGGATGATCCGCCCGCATGCCCAGCCCTAGTGGCATGTGGTCAATCGTTCGTCGGAAGTGGTAGACTGTTCTCTCAAAAAAGTATAAAGTTTGCCGTAATTGGTAGACCGTTTTACGGAAAGCGGTATACTGCTTTGAACAAGTTGACCGCTTAAGCGATATACCGTTTACTTGAAGCAGTAGACCGTTTGATGAAAGCAATATACCATTTACTTGAAAAGTGATTGACATTTTTACGGAAGAGATAGACTGTTTTATTGGAAAGTGATCAACCACTTTACATAAGGGGTCGTTTGGTTTTGGTGATAGTTAAATAGATGCATTGTTATCAATGTATGGATAATAATATACATGTATATAAGAAAATTGATGTATTGTAGTTTACATAATTTGGTTTCTATAATACATATTATAGTATTTAATAAGATATATTGCTTTTGGGTTAAATGTCACTATTACCCTTTATTTTTAATATAAAAAAGCAAAACACATCAAAAGATAGGGACATAGTTGGAAGAAGAAAACACTCCAACAATTTCAAATAAACAATCTCAACAATCTCACCAAATACTTGAGATATTACTATTTCCATCACAGCATGCAAACAATGCATGTATAGTTTGTGCAAAAAATTAAAAAAAAAAATGTATTATGAACAATACATGCATTGTAATTATCTCAATCAAACAATCACCAAAACCAAACGACACCTAAGAGATAGACCGTTTTCATGAAATCAAAGTATCACCATATACATACCCTAAATTATTAGCATTCTGAAACAAATTATAGCACTGCACTGAGTTGTTATTTCAAATATTTTACGTTTTGAATTTTCTTTTTGTTTCCACGGTAAATATATGTTTTGAATTTAGGGTTGGTTTCTTTCTTTCTTTCTGTGTGCGGCTGTATGGTCTGTTTGCTTCCCCTGCTGCCAAAAGATGCTTCGTTTCTCGTGTCCTTTCCTTTTCCTTGCTATTGGGTTTTTCTTTTTGGTTGCATTTCCTTTTACCAGAAGCAGAAGTCAGTGCAGCGGCAGAGGGTGGCCGTCAGTTTTGTGGTGCAACAGAGAGAGGCAGCAGCAGCAGCAGCAGCAGCAAGGGGAGAGAGAGAGAGAGACAGTCCCAGTCGCAGTCCCCCCACCTCCTCCACCCCATCCCTCCTCTATCGGTATTCATTACCACTTGCTAGCAGTAGCAATTACTTGCGCAAGATTCAGGACCTCACTTTCTCTCCTTGCGCAACGGATTCAATCCGGCTACGTGAATAGCTTAGCGTGGTTACTCAATTTTGCGTAATCAAGGTGGATAGTGCAATTTTGTGTTCCACGTTTATTGGATGCTGCACACAGTGTTTACATGTAAACAATTGTCACTACACAAATTTGACGATCTTGTGTCGAGAATTTCACAATTCGGGGATTTTTCCACTAATACCACCATTTAAAAAAGTTTACAAAAATACTACCCAACCAAAAAAAAAATTCAAAACTACCACCATTAATTGAGAACCGCCGCAGGGGGAGATGGTTTTCACATAAACCGCTCGGGGAGGGGGCGTTTCCCGCTAGGGCGGCCAATCAATCGTGTGTGCACGTGGCGTTCCTCGGGACCGCACGATGAAGGACCGCCCAAAAACATATCAAAATCCCAAAAGGGTGGACTCTCTAGTCGAGCAATATCTGTGTCGAAAAGAGGTTATTTTTATAGAGTAGAAGTGATAACACGTTTTAGAAGAATACTACATAAAGTAAGAAACCCCAAGTGTGAGGCGAAATTGGAAACTTTGGTGTGTATAATTGTGCAAGTAGCTCGGTGTGTACACGAAATGTAAAGTCAGAACGCCTTCCAGTAGCAGAATACTGTTTTGGATTGTCTTCTTCTTCTTCTTCTTCATGGGGGACCTTTGTTTGTCGTCCTCTTCTTTCTCGTTAATTATCTTTCAGCCGATCATCTAGAAAACTCCCATGGTGTACTGTCGAGAATGCTCTTTTGCTGGAGCCATTGGGCTGGGTTGGGCCTCCTCTTCTTCCTGGGCTAAACTGTAATGAAAGCTCAGTCCATAACCTTGTTTGGGCCAGACCTGGAGTACTACTAGGAATGGCAACAAAACCCGAACCCACGGGTACCCATCCGACCCAACCCGGTCAACGCGGGTAAAATCCGTGTTGACGGGTTTTAGGTCGGGTTTGGGTTTAAAACCCGTTTACTATTTATCGGGTTGGGTTTGGGTTTAAGTAAACCCGACCCGTGGGTACCCGCCTACCCATATAATTAATTTTTTCGGTATATTTAATATTCTAAACAACTAATCTTATTTATGTTTTGTGGAGACATGTCTAATTTTCTTTTTAATTGTGTAGAATGAAGTTGATGTTATGGAGTGGAGAGTAAAGAAACTTAATTAAAAGAAAGAAGCTTTCAATTAAACATGTTATTTATGGATAATTTGTGATTTGCTTCAATTTTCTTGAGTTTTCTAGATTGGTATTGAAACAATTTGTATAGTTAATTTGTGATTTGCTTGAATTTTCTAGAATGGTGTTTTATATATCGATAATTTGTATTGAGAGATTGATATTTGACTTTAATTTTGATAAGAACTTGTAATTGTAAATTTTTTACGACAAAACCCGTGGGTACCCATGAACCCGCGGATGCCCAACGGGTTGGGTTGGGTTTGAGTTTTTCAAACCCAGTGGATTTACCCCGGGTTTTTTTCAAAGATAAACCCATGGATTTGGGTTTGGCAAAACCCGACCCAACCCGACCCATTGCCATCCCTAAGTACTACACTCCTCACTCAAATCCTTGCCCCTTAGTCTACCTTGTCGTCGAAGTTCCTCTACCAAAAGGGTTGCGAACATTGAACTTGAAGACATCTTTTGATGAACGGTTGAGCATTTTGGAAGAAGATCCAGTTGGCTTTTTGGTCAAGACCGAATCACACCATTCACTGTTCGATCTGGATCGAATTGAAGAAGAAAAAAATGCTTATCTTTAATCTCGATTCGATCCTCGCAAGGGAAGCGATCCAATGATATGACTTATCACTCATCCGTAAAGAAAATTTGGTCTACTCCGAAACCCGAATATGTTCAAATGAGAAATGAAAGGGAGGATCAAAACACGGAGTGGAAAAATAATTCGGCTGGGTATGAGCTTGAGGCATTCAAACTCAATATGCATACATTGTCAATACTTGGTACAAATTACAAGACATTGGCACCCTGATGAAAAGAGGAGGTAAAGTAAACTAAAACTGTTTTTCTTCTTCTATCCAAATCATATCTGATCATAATCTTCAAACTACAAACTACAAACTCTATCTACAGATAATGTTCCTCCCTTGTATGAATGAATCCTACAAAAGCACAGGCCGAGTAATTACATATACAATAAAAAAAAATACGAATAAACAAATGAAAACGGTGCACAGATCTATTATATGAACAGTTTCGCATCTTTTCGGACGTTGAGATGCAGATGTTCAGGTTTCTTGCGGTTAAGTACACGAAAGTTGTATCAAGAGGGGGGAGGGAATCTTACAGTGTATGAACTGTTAAGGACTTTGGCAACATGTGATGAAGTCAAGTTAGCCCCACGCCACGGAACAAGCATAGTTCACCAGCAGCTTACCATCAACACCAAAATTCTGTGATATTGAACACAAGAAGTCATACAAAGTGAATAATTTCTGATTGCAGCATACTTTTGAGCAATTTGGCGCACAGTAACTACATCATTTTGAAAAATAGGGCATAAGGTAAGACTTCCGAAGCAACATAGTTCTCGCATTCGTTTCAGTAAACGGCACCAACATGCCCTAGGGTTAAACATCATCTTGTGAACCTCAGTATCAGAACATGCAAATAGCTGAAAGTGGGAGAGCAAATGAAACATACACAACACACCAAAGGGAAGTAATTAAGACTTACATTGAAAAGATCAATCACTAATTCATCCGGATTTGGTGAGAATGCACTGTTGATGTAGACAAACTAACAACCAAAAGATAGTCATAGGAAACCTATCAGTAACTCTGACAATAAACTAATTACATTACAGAGAAACACACTAAAGAAAGGTACCACTGTTTCTCTATGAAGTTGACGACGCAAGAAGTCGATCACCTTTGCAAATTTATCAGTCCCAAGCATCTGCTCATTTCAAATAATCATTTCACAAATCTTAACCAACCAAGCTAAAAATCGAGAGAGGCAACGGGAGTTTCATCCTATAGAATCAGTCCTGCAACAAAATTTGAACCAACTATTCCTAGTTTAAGACCAGGTAATATTGCTTCGAGTCAAACTTTTGCTCCAGTGCTGAAGCACAACCCATACCAGTAGATCGATCAACAGGGACCCAGAAAGCTTAGCGATCTATCAGAAAGCTGAGGAACATATACATGAAAACTGATTCTACTCCGAAACAATGCCCAATTTTCACAAGGAAGCAATATCAACTCAGCACAATTTTCCAGTATTAGTGCCCTACAAAAGCTTCGGTTTGTCTTGCTAGATACTAACAGCCAAATAGTTCTTGAAACAAAGTTACAGCTACCAAATGAATGAATTTGTTGCTCAACCCTAACAATTCTTCCCCACCCAACAAACCACAGACTGAACAAACGCCATGGAAGTAACAATTAACCACCAAAGAGGAGCTGATGCAAGATATTGTACATACCTTGAACTTTGTTTGCTTGAGTATGGGAGCATCAGCGGTGGCTTTCAATTGGATGATCACTGAAACCCGAATCGAAAGAGGAAAAAACCCCAAAAATAAACAGCACAATGAAACAGAGTCAAATGGGAGCGAGAGGGGGAAAAAGGAGGGCTTTGATAAGTTGGGAAACGAAATTATATCTTGAATTGAGATGCGTTGAGGGTAAAAGCTCGGCTCACCTTTCTGTGATGAACTCGGCGGCTCAGGTGCTGCCATGGTCGCCGGTTATCTCAAAGCTTCTCTTCTCTCGACTGCTGATTTGATTTTTTCGCCCTTTTTCTTGCCAAAGCTTAAACGACAGAGGTTTGCTATTTTGCGCCAACGAAATGGTAAGTTTTTGGGTAGAAATACGTTGTGCTCTCCATATGGGCTACACTTATAAATAGGGGTATGGATGGGGGTGGTTTGGGTTTAGTCATTTTAATCATTCGACCCATATAATATGAGTTTGGAAATATTAAACTTAAACACATCCAAAAAAATTAGAATCCTACGGTTTATTTTCAATTTGGTTGGATCGAGTTGGCGATATTTTTAAGTAAAAACCCAACCCAACACAAAATATATAATTATTCCACACCATAAAAATATTTTATAACTAATTAAAATTTCAAACAAATAAATCAAGATGAAAGGTATCAAAATTTACAAATTTTGTTTAAATTTAAATAAAATGTGATTTATTTTAACATATGTCTAGTTTTTTTCACGACATTTGTTGGAATAGGCTAACAATATTATAAACGAACACATCCATAATATGTTATTCTATTAAAATTGTACACAAGAAAAGGATTACGTGAATCATAGCTATATTAAATCTATGTCTAAACTTTAAACCGGAAAATGCGTTAGATTAGGGAGACCACTGAGAGAAAAACATGGCTTAATAACTTTAATTTTCTCATAAGTATGGGTATATACGATATAATATTTTTGGATATGAACTCATACCAATAGGTTCGAACACGGGTTGGGTCGGGTTCTACGAGTTGTATAATCCAAAATCCAAACCCAAAACAAAAGAGGCGGGTTGCTACAAAAAAAACCCTCACCCAACCCAAAATCTTAGTTTTAGCGATAAATACGGGTGAGTTGAGTCGAGTTGTCCGGGGGGTCGGTCGGTTTACGTGTGTGTTTGTTCACCCCCTACTTAGAAACATGCTTTCCGGTTATTTTGATATTTAGACTATGACTATAGGTAGAATATTCGTTAGGAGGAATTTTACATATGCTTGGTGCTATTGCTTTTAACCTTATGCTACAACTTTAAGTTGTACTTGGAATTTGAACCATGACCACTTTAAAGAAAAGCAAGTATCATAACCAATCACACTAAGGGGCGTTTGGAAGTTGCGATTGGTTTTGTGAGTTGTCATTAGCATGTATTGTTTACAATGCATCGTTTTTTTGTGTTTTTTAACAGAATACAAATACATGGATTTGTTTCTATGATGTGACAGAAACTAATCACTCATTTTGAGTGATTGTTATATCTCAACTTTAGTTGTGATTATTGAGATAGTTGAGTTGAGATTGTTTTGTCTCAGCTTTTAACTGATGCGACATACACAATCACACATACCAAACGTTGTATTGTACAATGCATCAAATTCGACAATACATGTATAATATTATACATGCATTCTCAACAATACATCTATTAACAATCACAACTTCCAAACGAACCCCTAGTACATATTGTTGTATCTTTTTAAATTAAAAGCATATAATAGCGGGGAGGAAAAACTTTCCCCCATTTCAAATTCTCTGCTCCATGAGCGTTTGTAGGAAGGGTAGAATAGGGAGTGCAATTTTTTTTCTCTTTCCTCTGTGGAACAGGCAACTTACCGTACACATGCGACTTTAAACGGGTCCAGGAGTGTCAATTTTTTTCTTTAAGTCCTTTTATTTCTCCAGTGGTGGTAAAATATATATGAAAAGGCAAAACAATACTCCTTTTTTATTGCTAAAAAGAAAAAAATATAACAATAAACTAATGCATGGATTCTAATGGGCTAACCGCTAATCATAAAATAAAAGAGTTGAATGAGCCTGACCTACACGGGATTTGCCCATCAAGTAAAACAAATCAACATTATGTGTTTGCCATTCTAAAACAAGCTACTTTTCTCTAGCATAATATATATTATGCTATTATTTTATATCTTAGTGGCTAAAATATAATGTATTTTAAAGTTATTCAATGGTTCAACCTCGACCAACCCACTAAGTCCAATTTTTATCATTTCAAATATATATTATGTAATTATTTGATATCATAATGATTAATTAGTGTATATTATAGGGAATCGTTTGGTATTTGTTAGTAAAAAAACTAAACTAGAAAGATCTATTTGGTTATTTTTAACATTAAAACGATCCTAAACATTTTCAGTTTCCTTTCGAATTTCTATGGTTTTATTCCCGAATCAGTGATGTGCAAATGGCGAATTGCAGTCATCTCTTTTCTTTCACTATTTTTTATTTTCAAATAGAAAGTTTAAAAGTAAAGAATAATTAGAGTTTGACATGGGTCGGTCAAACAACCTGAATTTCAAGTTTTGGCCCGTTTTCATCAAGTCTAATTTATAATCACATGGTTCCTTGATACTCGATAAAAATCTCAACCAAACCAGTTTGGCAGGTGAGTCCGTGTTTACCACCATTTTCTAGAGATATAGGAACGACAGTTTCTATCCCAAATCGTGTTGTTCGTTCTTGATTTTTTTAGATTTTATCATGGCCTGGCAAAAACCAGAAAGCACAATGACGACAAGATTGAAAGTTTTTATAAAGCAAATTAATCGGCCAACTAGCCGAGTAAAGCTAGCAACGATTGTGAGATGCTCATTTCCCGAAAACCAAGCATATCCTGTCGGTTGTGAGATGCTCCACCTCATCATATTATCAGAAACAATATTGTTTCACAAGGTAACATGTACTTGATTTTGGTTCATAATGCTGATTTTTGATTCGTTGCATCATTCATGTCTCTTTCCTGCTAAAATTCACTATTTTTATCACGTGTTTCCAAAAAAAACTATACAACAATAAGCTATACACCCCATTACATTATCAGATTTCATACCTCACCTTCCTTCGGCCAACTGGCCGGGGCCCACACTAGTATTTATGTGATGGTACAACTTTAAGTTGTAAAGTTGTACCATAACATAATTAAGGGTGCAAATTTCTTTATGGTACAACCTGAACTTATACATTTAACTGTATGGTACAACTTCAAGTTGTACATTAAAGCACCAATGTTTTATAGCATAGTAAAAGTGTGTGTTAGTCAAAACTTTCATTTTAAACAAAACAATAGCCAAATTTTTCAAAAAAATAAAATAATAGTCAAACCGTCAAATTTCTATCCGGTCAACCATCAATTGACTCTAACGTGGCAAAATATTAAATGAGATGGATGGTTTCTGATGATATGGCAAAAGTCAAACGTTTGACTATGCCACATGGATATTAGATCATGTTACCAAATAACATCTATTTTTTGAAAGATAAATAAAATAAAACTTCATTTATGTCATATTATCAAATGGAAAATGGAAGACTTCTATACTCGCCAAGGGAAAGCCCACTCCAACGTCGACTCTGATTTCATCTTCCCGAAAGGTGCTTCGCTCTCCATCCTCGAAGACTTCTGTACTCGTCGTTGCTAGTCAACTAGTCATCGATCTGTATGTGTTCCGACCCAGTGGGAGCCAACAACATCATCCACTGCCTCTCCGTCGATTCGTCTGCCAAAGCACTACCAGAAATGAGGAAGGAGAGGGCACCGATGTTGCTGTGCATATATGAATTTTACGCGATTTTGTTTCCCTCGATAGAGATATGGGTTTCTTCAAGAAAGCCCATTGCGGAGGTTCAACTCTCCGATTTAGGCATCGTCGCAAAGAAGGAAGGAGAAGTTGCATCGTTGCCAAGGAGGAAGGAGAAGCCGACCCGTCGTCGTCGAGGAAGAAGAGTCACCCTGCCGCTCGTCGTCGCACCCAGAAGGAGGAAGAAGGTCGCGTCTAGAAAGGTTTGCCCCTCAACATCGAAATTGAAATCGGGATGCGATGATTATTCTTGCGCTGGTTCCAACTACAGGACTGGATATTATTTTGTTTTTTTAAGATTTGGCTATTGTTTTGTTTGAAATGAAAGATTTGGCTATTATATTGTATTTACTCTATACTATTTTTACGATTTATTTGACTTTGGATATTACATAGTGAAATTCTTTGAAAACCTTGAAATCATTTGAAAATCCATGCATGACTTATTTTTAAAACCAAGTGATATCCCGTGAGATCATATCCCAGCTCTGATACCACAAATGTAACACCCTTCAAACTTTAATACACACCATTTCTTACATATCATAAAATCCATGCATATTACAAATCTTTGCTTAAACTATATTACAAAACTTTATGATTATTTCAAACATGCACAAAAAACCCCTTTTTTCTTTTCCCAAAAACCCTAGTATGTACATGTGGAGATTCGAGTCATCTGCCAACCTCATCGTGGTCAAACTGGAGCTTGCCTTGTCCCAAACTTCTACTTTTGCTTCTCAAAATCCAAGGGAAAAATATTGACGGGAATGAGACGTCACCTCAATGAGTAATCCCTATCCTAGTATGAGAACTAATATAACCATAATGTTAGGCATTAACGACCTAGATTTTCACACCCAACATTCAACTCATAATTTTTATGATACTAAAGTCTTACTTCAACATACGCAAACATACATACCCACATATCCACCACACATAGTTCATATATATACAGTTTTGCAATTCATCATGAAAGTTCCATATTGTTAGGCTTAGTCATGCACCCCACCAATTCCCTTTACCATTTCTCCCTTACTCCGCCTCCTCCACCTCCTCCTCGATGCCTAGGCCTCTCCCCCTACAGGCCTACACCAACCTAAGGCACCAGAAAGTATCTCCCATAATGACGCTTCTCACCTCGAGGTTTCTCGCCTCCATGACCATGTGGCATCTCATCACACAATATTGAGGCCTCTCGCCTCTATATAACATCGTGGCTTCTCACCACCTATACCAGTGTGGCCTCTCACCACAATCACTACCGTGGCTTCTCGCAACCATCCCTACTCCTCTACTCCCTCTTTGGGTGCATGACTCACCATCATATGTTGTTTACACTTAATATTCATTTAATTTACTACTTGCCGTTACAGCCATCACAATCATCCATAATAATCAACATCATCATTTTCATTATCATTATCATCAAGGAGGCTCTTCATGCCTCTCATTCAACATTACCCATCATAATCATCATTCACACAAGCATCACCATCTCTACTCACAATCATCACATTCTCCATTATTCCCATCACATACTCAATCACACTATTAAGACCAATAAGAAACTCACATAATATAATTCATCACAAAAACCAATTCCACCACAATACTCATCCACATTTAATTGAAGAATTTTGGTATTTGGGCCGCTTCATGACCCAAATATCACACTCATATTAGTTGAATGACTAGGTTAGGAATTACTCATAGCTTTATCGCTACTCTGCTACTCCCTTGCCTTTTGATGATTCTACCGCTTGCCCTTTTCCTTTTAAAAAATCATATATGGATGATTTAGTACTACTAATAATTATTACGCTTGTCATAAATAAGAACCAACCTCATGTAATCAAGGGACAATTATTCCTAAACTGAAATCTACACACAACTCATACAAGAGTAACTTCCACCACACTAATATATAAACATTCTTTTTTTAGGTAGAAAGTCGACGACAAGCGTCTAAATCGTATTAATAATCAGACGATCATGAGGAATGCCCATGATGTCGTGCAGTAGCCAATGTTCAAGTTCCGGGTCGTACACATTGAAGCGAGGTGTACCAAAATCAACTAAATGACCCCTAGCTGCAAGAAAATCAGCAGCAAAATTTGCCTCTCTATATACATAAGAAACCTTGACATCCCAATACAAACACAGCAAAAAGTTGAACTCCTTGGCGATGATTCCATGGCGGTGATCATCCTCAGTGTTGTTCATGATGATGCTGATTGCAGTAGCAGAATCCAAGTTGAGATGGACTCTTCTGTAGCCTCTTTCCCGCGCAATTTTGAGGCCAGTCACTGCTCCTTTTAGCTCTGCACTCGTTATGGAGCATGTTCCAAGATTGCACACAAAAGCCTCCTTACATCTTCCAAGATGATCCCTTAACAAGCCACCTGCAGCAGCTTTCCCTGATGGTGACAACACAGAACCATCAGTCTAGACTTGAATCCATCCTTCAGGTGGTGGATCCCAAGCAATCTGACGTTGTTGGTAAGTTCTTTCGACAGTGTTGGTGACACTCTGCAGTCATTGATGAGCATTCTTGATGATGTTGAACCACACTTTGATTCTGCAGAACAACCCTTGCACCTGGAATTGCTTGCCATCCAGCACCTCTTCATTGCGTTGTTTCCAGAGGTTCCAGCAGATTACCCCAAACTCCACCCCTTTCACTTCGTTGCTGATATTGTCTAGAAGCCATTGGTGGAATGGGGAGTTGGAGTTCCTGACTGTGAGCTTGTCTCTGAATTTTTCCCAGGTAGCTTTGGCTCTTTCACAACTCCTCAAAATATGTTCAGTTGTTTCTTCTTTGTCAGCACAAGTTGCAATTAGCAGTATTTGAGATGCCTCGTCGTACACGTTCTTTGTTGGTGAGCAGCCTATCATGGAGGACCAGCCAGAGGAAGCTCTTGATTCTTTTTGGCCCTCCCCATTTTCATAGGTTCTTCCACTTCTGCATCTCCTATTCTTCCTCAAGGTTGGCAGCAAGGGCATAGGCAGACTTCATTCGAAACCTTCCATAACGTTCAAGTCCCCATGCCATTTTATCCTCTTCGAGCTCAGGTTTGGTTGTTTCTGCACCTGCAATCAGGGATAACAGCTCATCAGGGAGGAGAGGTTTCAGTCTCTCACAATTCCACTCACCTGTTTGGGTGACCCAATTAGAGACTAGTGAGTCCCTTTCCTCGATGGTGATCTCCTCCGGGAGGTATTCCTCGAGAATGACCCCACTATCAAGCCATGGATGCTTCCAAAAACTGGTTGTCTCCCCATTGCGAATACTCCAGCAGGAAGCTTCCTTCATAAGGGGCATTGCCTAAACAATTGCTTTCCACAAGCTAGAATGATTAGATTTTTACATTGAAATAATTTCACCAGTCTTCTGCTTGTAGTATTTCCCTTGGAGGACTCTAACCCAAAGGTCGTTTTCATTGTTGAAGATATTCTAAGCAAGTTTTATCATATAGGCTTTGTTAAGGCTGCGGGCAGATCTAAGCCCCAACCCTCCCAAATTATTGGGTTTATAAATCTGCTCCCAAGACACCAGATGGGCTTTCCTTTTCCCCTCCTGAGATCCCCAAACAAAACCACAAATTTTCTTATCTATAACATCACACACAGTCAATGGGATAGGGGTTGTCTGCATTGCATAGGTGGGAATAGCATTCAGAACAGAGGCTACAAGTGTGACCCTCCCAGCAAGGGAGAGGATTCTAGCCTTCCAAGCTGTAAGACTCCTATCCATTCTATCGAGAACATACTTGTAGGTACTCCTAGTGATCCTCCCATGAATGCCAGGAACACCAAGATACCTCCCAAGATCATTTGTTTCCTGTATACCAAGTTTAGCACATATAGTCTGCCTAGTATTAGTTCTAACATTCTTAGAAAAGAAAACACGAGATTTTACTTTGCTAACAAGTTCACCAAAGGCTAAGCAAAACGAACCAAGACAGTTAAGGACCACATTAGCTTGGTCAGGGCAAGCATGGGAGAAGAGCACCAGATCATCAACAAAGAAGAGGTGGGTTAAAGCAGGACCATTCGGGGATAAGGTAACAGGTTTCCAGTTCCCTTCCCTAGACTCTTTCAGAATGCAATGGCTAAGACGTTCAATGCATAAAGTAAAGAGGTAGGGTGAGAGAGAGCATCCCTGTCTTAAACCTCTTGATGGCTTGAAGCTTTCCGTTTCTCCACCATTCCAGATGACTTGAAAGGAGGTAGTGGTTACACAAGCCATGATGAGTCTGACAAAATCCAATGGAAATCGTGCAGCACACAGGGTTTCTTCCAAGAACTTCCAGTCAATCCTGTCATATGTTTTGGCAAGATCAACTTTCAGTAGCATGTAGCCTTTCTTCCCTGTTTTCCTGGCCATGGAGTGCACTGTTTCCTGCAATATATATAAACATTCTACCCCTAGTTCATAACACAAAAACCCTATGTAAGTTAACATATCTTTAATTTCCACTAACTATCTTAAAATTGTAATTATGTATATCACCCTAACAGCTATGGGTCATGGGTCAATGCTGAGGTGGCAAATAAATAAATATTTTATTGTGACTGTTAGTCACCTGGACGGAAAAACTAACAGATGCCCAATTTAACAATATAAGTGGTATTAGATCCCCTATTCTAATTTAAGTGGTATACCTACTCCAATTTTGAAATTTAAGTGGCACCCGAAGTATTTTACCCTCAATAAGTATAAGTTATACACCATTATAGTTATTTCAAACTTCAGTGGTAAGCTTGTTGAATGATCAAAGTTGAGTATCCAAATCTGTAATTTATTACAGCCTGTTTGGATGGACAAAAAACTCAGGAATTGGAATTCCATTTCCAATTCTATTTCATTATTTCATGTTTGGAATGGTAAGAAGGTTGGGAAATGAATTCCATTTGACTAAAATATTGGAAATTAGAATTCCTATCAAAAGTGATAGGAATTGGGTGGCTAAATTACACGTTTGGTCACTCAAATTATACAAATCTTTCACGTTTGCCACCCGAATTACTTTTCTTTCTTATTCGCCACTAACTTTACGAATCGTTTCACGGTTGGTCACCGGCCGTTACACTCCGTTAAGTTTGACCTACGTGGCAGTCAACTATAAAGTTTGACCGTTTAACTAGATGACGTGGAAATTAAAAAAAATAAAAATTTATTTCCACCTCATCATTGTTGATTGATTATAGAATTCCCCGGCGATATATAGAATGTGTTCCCCTTCGGCAGCCTCACCCCATCCATCCAAAACAATCAGGGCTATCGTCTTCCCCTTCGGCAGCTTCGGATGATCCGCCAGCTTAAATGTGTTCGCGCCGGAACTACCCATCTTCCTGCTCGACGAACACACAAATCCGAACCAGTCAAAACCCCAAATAAACCAAATTGAAATCAGAAAAAAGCAGAACGCAAAGGCGCTTAGGCAATATATAAAGAGAGAAACAATGGCGCGGCAGTAGGTCAAAGGAGGGCTTGCTGACCTGCGATTGACAAGTGATAGGAACTGAGAAAGAACCGGAGAAGATTGCAGAGACCAAAAAGAAACAGCCGTCGATTAGTTTGAGGACGAAGGCAACTGGAGTAGCAGAGAAAAGGAACAGCGGGCCGTTTAAGTAGGCGATGCGTGGGGCGTGGGCAAAATAACAGATCTGGTTTCGTAAACTCCGACGATGAAAACGACGACGTGGAGCTCGTGCTCCACCTCCTGCGCGCCGCCGATGAATTGGACCACAAGCAGTACGAGCAAGCGGCTCACTCCCTCGACCTCTGTGAATTACTGTCCTCCGAGGCAGGGGATCTCACCCAGAGAGTCACCCACCTCTCAATCACACGTCCCGTGAAACACATCGTCAAGCCTCCCCGGCGATATATCAATCTCAATCAGATTCCCTTCCTCGCCGTGAAAACTCAAATCCGAGTCAAAACCCAAATCCAATTCCAAATCCTTCCCCTTTCCCTTTCCCTTCGTACCGCGATCCAAAGCTATCTCGATCAACAACTCTTCTCTGTCCTCCTCTTCCCACTGGAACCTTCCGCCTTTCGCCGCCAAATCCCACCCTCCGGTGGTCGAAAAGCCCTCGCCGCCGCCGTCCGACAAGCAATCGGAGTTGGTTTCAGGGGTAATACATTGACAAAGAAGGGTACCTCTCCAAACCCGCCTGATTCCCTTCCTCCCCATTTCTCCCATCAATTGCATCACCCAAATTCGAATTGGGCGGAGGGCCACCGTCGTCTCCTTCTCCGCCTTCCTCGTAGATTACCTCCAATGGCGCGCCGACGTCCCACTCGCCGAAATCCCTTTTCGCAGTTGGTTTTAAAGAATCAGTTTTCTCTACGATCTCGCTCCTGGGTTCGACGATTTCTTCGATTTCTCTGCTCTCTGGACGGTTCCGAGCCGGATGAGACAGAGCAGGCTGAGCGCTGTGATGACGATCACCGGCGAGAGGCAGAAACCGATGGCGCGAGGGAAGTAGAGGACGATTAGCACGCAGAGGGAAATTGTGAAGGAGAAGAGTGGGTAATCGGTGGAAAGGCGGGAGATGGATTCTGGGGTGAGATGGAAGGGAGAATTGGACGGCGACATGGTGGTGAGGAGTAGTGGGAGGGATTTCAGTTCCCATGGTTTGATTCCAATTGGGTCCATTGTTCCATCCGAAGCGTGAAGGGAAAGCTTATTTTTTAATATGATAAATTATATATATAAATAAAATAAGTGCAATGATGAGGTGGAAAGAAATTTTTTTTATTTTTTTTTAATTTCCACGTCATCTAGTTAACGGTCAAACTTTATAGTTGACTGCCACGTAGGACAAACTTAACGGAGTGTAACGGCCGGTGACCATCCGTGAAACGATTCGTAAAGTTAGTGGCGAATAAGAAAGAAAAGTAATTCGGGTGGCAAACGTGAAAGATTTGTATAATTTGAGTGACCAAACATGTAATTTAGCCGGAATTGGGTTTATGGAGATGGAATTAGTGGGACCCATTCATATTTATTATTATTTTATAATTCCACTATCTTATTTCTCTCTTTCTCTCTCATCCATATTTCATTTCCCAAGATAAAAAATCTACTAAATCATTAATGATTGTTAAAGAATACAATTCATTTCCATAGTTGTTGGAATTATGCCAAACACAAATATTGGAAATGGAATTCCATAAAAGTTAGAATTGGGAATGGAAATCAATTTCCATTTCTTATGGAATTGTATCCAAACAGGCTGTTAGTAACAACAATTTTGAAATGGCGGGGATAATTAAATATCCCGGACGCGACGCGCCCCTCTCCTCAACCTGCCCCTCCGAAAAAAGATCAATCCCTAAACCGAATTTTGGGATCCGCAGGAAACTGCCCTGCCCTCTCCTTCCTTCTCCCTTTCCCTTTCTCCACTCTTCAGTCTCCCAGAGAAAGCGAACGATACTTACTTTTACTGCAGCGTGCTCGAAAAGCCAACGGCCCATTTAGGCAAAAGGCGCGCAAAGCCGAGCGAGCGACTCTCTGATTCCTCACCCCCTTCCTTCGTCGCTGTCAGCTTTTCTTTCCCAGTTCAGTTCCAAACCCGCTCAATCGCTACTCTTATGGTGAGCCATTTCTCTATCCTTCCAGGTGTTGTATTCTGTCATTTGGGCTCTTTATCCTGTTTCGTTTTTGTTCCTCTGAGTGGATTATCGCGATTCCTGCCTAGTCGAGCTGGAAATTTTCTTAGGAACGATCGATTTAGCTGTGCATGTCGGTTTTGTTTATGTTGAGGGCTCTTTCTGAATATATGGCTATACTAAGTTAGTGCGTTTAATTTTGATAAACTATTGGTGATAATTTGGATTTATCGTATAGGGCGTGCGTTAATAGTTGGGATTGTTGAAGTGGTTTTAGCCTAAAAAACTTTTAGGTTGTGAGTTTGGTTGACTTCAGTTGAGATTTAGTTAAGTATGGCAGGTAAATGAATGTTGGAAGGATTCATGGTTAAACTTCCTTATGCCATCGTGCAAAATGCTCAGTGTTTTCCTTTGGCATGCTTGTGGATTTTGATGCTGGAAGTTGGGCAAATTTTAACCTTGTTGTTGTGATCTTGTTTTTATTCTTTTTGGGTTTTCTTTGGTTTTCCTTGTTCCAGTTTGTGTATTTGAGTTGCATGTGGTGGATTTTCCATGGAAACAGAGGTCGGAGTTGAGGGGAATGGAGGAAGGATGCTTCTTGAGGACGGCGAAGTCGAGAAAATGTGCTCTCCTTCGGCCCCATCTCAGCAGATTCCGAATCCCATTGTGTACAAGCTTGTCAGGGTATGTTCTGAGATAATGTTTTTTCTTTCATTTTTGGGATAAAGATGTTTTTTTGGAGTACTTCACTGAGCATTCATGGCCAAGCATTTCCTTGTGCCTTTTTCGGTATGTCCTACATTAAATGGGTTCATGTGCATGTGGTTTTGCTTCTGATTTTGATGACTAAGGTTGAAGGAGATGGGAGATTAGTACCAGCAACAGATGATGAAGTTATGGATGTAGCTGAGTTGTTTCTGGATGACAACATTGACACAGATTTCATAGACACTGAGCAGAGTTTAGGATGCATCTCTGGTGATGAAATACATCAACTAGAAAGCTTGGGAGGTTTGTGCTCCATTTCTGTTTTATCTAGACATGATCCTTCAGAGCATTTCAGAATACTGATGTTATGAAGAAGAATTTTGGTGTTTGTTCACGGTGTGCCTGCAATTTTGTACCCTGTTGATGTTGTTTGAATTTATAATGTCCTATTACTGAACCTTCTTTTTCAAATTCATGCTTTTCAATTATGCTATGATACCCTTTTACTTGGCAATTGCGGCAAACTTTTCACCTTTAGTTGCATTTTCTGAGAAATGATTTCTCCCTTTATGAGGAACTCTTGACAAAGCATCTCTTTATCCTCCTAAACCTTTGACTTAATTAAATATGAGTCTGGAATCTTTCTGAATGTTGGATCTTCAATGTGTGCCAGGTTTTTTGCAAGCTGATAAACTGGATGTTGTTCCAGAAATAATGAATGCACAGCTTCAGGTATTAAGCATTCTTTTTAACATTAGTATTTTTTTTCTCCCACTTGAATGATGCAAAACTTTTCTGAATCAGATTAATGGGTAAACTATTGAAAGTCTGCCTGTTTCGTTCTTGTTGTTCTTTGTTAGCTGTTATATTATAACCAAGGGATATTGCATAGGAACTATGCGTAGCATGTGAACATCCTGATTTTTTCTCTGCATAGACGATTGTGTTCTGGTCGGCATGAAAACTGCTATGCACTTCCCTTGCAGGAACCTTTCTCTGAGTTGGCTCCAGATTTTTGTGAAAGTCTCATGACTGAATGTGGGAGTGCAGGGGATTGTCCAGATGCTCTGGTTAAGTTGAGTGAGGATGGACCGTCAAGTCCTGTTGCTTCTTCCATACCTGACTTCTCCAAGATAAAGGGAGAAATATGCTTGGACAATTTATCTATCAGAGAACTTCATGATACTTTTAAGGCAACTTTTGGGAGAGAAACTTCTGTCAAGGATAAGCAGTGGCTTAAGAGAAGGATTGCCATGGGATTGACTAATTCTTGTGATGTTGCTTCAGCATCTAGTTTCACAATTAGAGATAACAAGTTGGTCGACAACAATGTAAGTTGCCAGAATGTGGGTGCGGTTATCAGAAGTGATCAACCACATGAAGCAAGCAGTGGTGAAGACAGACAATTACAGATTATACAAAGTAGTGAACATATTGATCAACCAGTATTTTGTGACAAAAGGTGGAGGGACAGTGGCACATCTGAAAACCCAAGAGAGACATATGATAACACAGAGGAGAGGGCTGCTAAACGAGTTCGGAAGCCCACGAAAAGATATATCGAGGAACTTTCGGAGACGGAATCCAAGGAAGCCATTGGTAGACTACTAGCTGTGTCTCCAAGTTCCAGACCTGGTCAACCATCCCCAAACAGTCACACGAGGCTTGCGAGAAATGAGTCTTTGGGCAGTAGGACTGTGGTTATAAGGTCGGATTCCCTTGGGGGTTGTGAGATTCAGATTCCATGTGTTTGTCGAGTTCGCAGGAGCCGACCAAGGAAAAACTTCTCGACCCTTCTGGTGAGTAAAACTATTTACGAGTCAACACTTTATTATTTAGGTGATAAGCACTAAGAAGAATGAAGTTGATCATTATGTGGTCCTGCATGCTTTCGTTTTGCTTTTTTATGAATCCCTTAGGTTTTTAATAGTTGTGAACAAGTGGAACCCAAATTATGTAATCTCTTTGTATTCACTTCATGAAAAGGAAGCCACCTCACAAGTTATAACTCTGGAAAGATGGTAAATTTCTGTGTACCAGTTATGTGATGGTTGCCCTTATTTATCCTCTTGGTTTATTTTATTGTCTTATTAAGCATTTTGGTAAAGAGCAACCTAAATTTCTGCAGAGATTTAATGGCCTTGACGTGATAACAACTGTGGTAAAGAAGACCTTCGAAGTAGACGATGCTCCACCAGATGACGAGAATGCAAACATTGTAACAAAAGCAGAATCAACCCCTGAACAGTCTCAACCGCTGGTAAGTAACTCCCGCCCCTCATATTAGATGAAACACGGATAATAGATAACAATAATAAATAAATATGAAAAGTAGGAATCTGATACCAATGGAAAAAAATGACAGATAATAGAAGGAAAAGTACAAACAAATGACACTTGCGCCCATCGGGCAGGCGCACAACTAGTATTACATTATGTTTGTTTGCTTATTTTGTTCATTTCATCACGAGCAAGGTTACAAAGTGACAGGACTTTGACAGTAACCACCCCCATAGTTGAGGGGCCAAGTTGTCACAAAACTCTATTAATAATGATGCCTACTCCAAACAGACCAGCACATTGCCCTTTATTCAGTGAGAACTTGTCAATGCATCTGTACTTTTGATCATGTGAATCTTTTCTGTTTCTAGCTTGTAGATGTACCATATAAAGAGAACCAGTTGACCGTGGTTGGAACAGCGGTTGGTGTGGAGCCAAAACATGGAGATTCTTCTGGGGATTCAGATGATAACATAGCCACTGTGCCCACCCCTAAAGGTGGATTCCGAAGGAAGCATCATCGAGCATGGACTCTTTCAGAGGTTATCAAGCTTGTAGAAGGTGTTTCAAAGTTTGGAGCTGGGAGGTGGTCTGAGATCAAACGCCTCTCGTTTGCATCGTATTCATACCGCACCTCAGTTGATCTCAAAGTATGTTAACTTAACTTTGCTAATTTCCATGCTTCCAGATTCATAAAAAGAAAAAAAAAAAGAGAAAAAGAACCATATAGCTTCTCTTACCGTGCTAGTTATCGCCATTGATGGAAACAGTAGGTTTTCAAACTCAAAATCCTCCAACAACCAGAAACTTTATTTTTCAGGATAAATGGAGAAATCTTCTCAAGGCCAGCTTTGCACCGCCAGATAAAGGAGTAAGTTCTTTTTTTCTTCTTTCCAGACCTTCAACGCCGAGGCTGTAGCCTGTAGGCTGTACCGTAGCTCCCTAAACACTGCCTGTTATCTGTCAATGTAGGTAGGCCCAAGGAAGAATGCAGCCACGACACCCATCCCTCCAACGATACTGTTGAGAGTGAGGGAGCTGGCCGAGATGCAGTCACTTGTCCGACCAGGCAGCAAAGTGGTTGGAAGTGTCCCGGGTGACAATGTTCTCGAACGGCAACCCGGGTACCTGTGACCAAACTGTAAACCAGTAGCTAGTAGGATTCTTAACCTTAGCACTGCATAAATAAGCTGCGGAAATATGTAGTTTGTTTGGTCTCTGTTCTTGCTTGGGGAATGACTCCCAACTTTTTGCACCATGTTTTGTCAAGATGAAGCTTGTTGGCGGGTGACTTCCGACGAGTGCTCCGACTTCGAACGAGTCGGAGGTTGTAATTAGACTGGCTCTGCATCTCCACCGCTTTGGCGAGTTCAGTATAAAACTGGAGATTCTAGACGAGAGGCAAGGGAATTTGCTATTAGGATTGCAGTAAGCAGCGGGTGGAGAATATAATAAGCTACCGGCGGCGGTGGCACAAAGCATGATTTTCTGTTTTCCGGTGGATATATTTTAGCGAAACTATGAAGGGGCTAGCGGCCAGGAACTGGTTTGTGGATGGTGAGCCGGGGCGGGATCCACACTTGGTGAACGTTTGCTTGATAATTTTCTGTTCTAAGAGAAGATATGAAGGCAGAGACACGATTATATATCATATGATCCCAAATTAGATATGGATAATTTTTTCCACCTGAGGGGGTTGAGAGCTAAGAGCAAGTTTCTTGAATCAGCCCTTGCAGGCTGTAGCAGTATTATTTTGAACCCATTTCCAAATTACGAGCAAATCATTAGTCTTTCATGATTAATTGCACAGTGAGTTTGTTGTTGGCATGGTTCGAGGTATGAGGTATATAGTCGCGAGAAGAAAATAGGTTAGTATGATGTGGTTTCACAATGGTGGCATATCTATTTACACTTATGGCATTCGTTCTCGAGACTCGAGTTTAAAGTTTAAACTATGTCGAACGAACCGAAGAGTCTAAACTTTAAACTAGGTTGAACTTGGGCAATAGCTCTCTCATTGCAAATGTGTGTACAAAGTAGTAAATCGATTTATCACGAAATGAACTATAAATTCTTACGAGCATGATGGTAAACTGCTAATCACATAGTTAAGGCCCCTGGAGTGGTCATGATCATGATTAACTAGCAAAGATTAAGCCATTAAATGGGCTCTATATTCATTCTTAGATGTCCTCCCCTGGAGGCAAGGAAAGATGGACATATGGGCTCGACAAGTAAAATGGGCCACCGTAGGCCCAGAACTTCAATTCGTTCTTTCCACGGCCGTACTTCTTGCTTCTCTAATGTTACATTTTTCTCTTCCGTCCTCTCCATACAAAAAATCTCAGCTTGGTGGATTGCCCCGCTGCTCAGTTCCGGTGAGTTCCTCCGGCAACCCTGAATCGTCTTTTGCTTGTATTCTCCCTATTCCCTCGATTACAGATCAGTGTGATGCCGGAAAAAGCTACCGCTGCTTAAAGTTATTTCTTCTTTCTAGAAAGCTGAATTGGCTTGCGGCGGCGGCTCATGTCGTTGGGGGGGGAAATTTTATCATTGTTTGGGGGCTTGACGGTCCTGATGCTCAGCATTGAACTTCGATTCTTCTGTATAAAGCTTCAATTTTGAACTGATTCCGCTCCTTTCTGATGTATTTTTGTATAGAGCTGTAAGTCCCCAATTCTTCATCCGGTGGGTTCTGCGTAGCTTCAGAGGGTTTTGTGTGGAACCTGAACTTGAGGCAAAATGGGGATCATCGAGAAGATTAAGGAAATCGAGTTCGAGATGGCTCGAACTCAGAAGAATAAAGCCACAGGTGCCTCTGCTTTTTCTCACTTCTTCCTTTCCTCCGTGGGTTGATTTGAATTGGTTCTTTCATTCACACAGTAGTTTATGAGTTCGTTTTCCAACCAAGTTCTTTGGGTAGCTCTTTGTGTCTCTTAATATGTTGTTTGGTTGCTAATTGATTGATTTTACAGAGTACCATCTTGGTCAGCTCAAGGCGAAGATCGCAAAGCTTAGGACTCAGTTGTTGGAGCCTCCAAAAGTATGCATGGCCTGACGACCATTTTTCATCGCACTTTTATTTTAAGATTTCACTCCTTCCTTATCTAATTAGGGCTGGAGGATGATTTGATATCCCATGTGTTCTGTATCAGGGTTCTAGTGGAGGTGGGGATGGTTTTGAAGTTACTAAATTCGGTCATGGTCGAGTTGCACTTATCGGGTTTCCAAGGTGAGCTACCATCGAAAGGGTTTTTATGAGGCAGATTAGCCAAAAATGTTGTGCATGCATACATCTTTTTGGCCTTGTTAAAACAATCTCAATTGGAAATGGTTATTATCAACATGTTGCAGAATCATAGAAAAGATTCCTTCCACATGTTCTTTATATGATGATGACAATGAATAAACGTTGTGCTCCTTTTCATGATTGTAGTGTGGGAAAGTCGACTCTTTTAACTATGTTGACGGGAACCCAGTCGGAAGCTGCATCATATGAGTTCACAACACTTACCTGTATTCCCGGCATCATACACTACAATGACACAAAAATTCAGTTGCTTGATCTTCCTGGAATCATTGAAGGTGCTTCAGAAGGCAAAGGACGTGGAAGGCAGGTAAACTTGTTGCAGTCCTAGGTGTTTTGCAGTTGTATGTCATAGTTGGGATTTGATGATTGCAGGATTGGTTCATAAATTGTGCTTGTTTCAGGTTATTGCTGTTGCAAAGTCTTCAGACATAGTTTTGATGGTTCTTGATGCTTCCAAAGTAAGACCAACTTTGTTACTTCCTGCTCAAATTATACTTTCTTCTTGCAGTGCATATAAACACACGACCTTAATTTATTTGCTTTTGGGTGGCCATTCACTATTGTTGCAGAGTGAGGGTCATCGTCAAATATTGACAAAGGAACTGGAAGCCGTCGGTTTGCGTTTAAACAAGCGACCCCCTCAAGTAAGGATTACTTGATCAGCCATGCTGGTTTTCCTTTTAAAACATTAATTAATGGACATTCACTGAAAGATGTCCGGTTGTCAAAGATGAGCCATCAGTTTGGTTCAACAGCTATTGATGATGTTTTTCTTTTATGCAGATTTATTTCAAGAAGAAAAAAACTGGTGGAATCTCTTTCAATAGTACTATGCCCTTAACCCATGTTGATGAAAAGCTCTGTTACCAGATTCTACATGAGTACAAGATTCACAATGCAGAGGTATTCTTTTATTGATTATAGGAACGAAACAATTTTAGTTTCCAATGATCATCTGTGGTATTCTGCCTTTATTGGTACCATTGTAGTGAATGTGGGGCTATAGGCAACAATGGATGACTCCGACTGACATAAGCTTGCTTCATTTTATATCTCTTGCTCCCTATGCTTTTAAGCTAATCCACAGTCCTTTACCCTCACGCAACAAACCTGGCAACTTCGTTGAATGTTGGATGTTATAACTGTTCCCCTCCAGTGTGTCTCACTTGTTTAGGATTTGACTGCAGATCCTATTTCGTGAGGATGCCACAGTGGATGATTTTATAGATGTCATCGAGGGTAATCGTAAATACATGAAGTGTGTGTATGTCTACAACAAGATAGATGTTATCGGTATTGATGACGTTGACAATTTAGCTCGGCAGCCCAATTCTGTTGTCATCAGCTGCAATTTGAGGGTAATTTATGTGTATCTATCATGTTGATATGGCATGGTAACACAATATGAAGATGGGAGTCGAAGTAGTAATTTTCTTTCCTATACATCCATGTTGTACAGCTCAACTTTGACAGACTGCTTGCAAAGATGTGGGAAGAAATGGGGCTTGTGAGAGTCTACACAAAGCCACAAGGCCAGCAACCCGATTTTGGTGATCCAGTGGTTCTGTCAGTTGTATGTAACGCAAATTCACTCTACTTTTGGACAGATGCAATGTTTGTACTTGTTGGAGTTTCGTCTAATTTTGGGACTACGATTTGTGTTCCACAGGACAGAGGAGGGTGCTCGGTTGAGGACTTTTGTAATCACATCCACAGAAGTTTAGTCAAGGATGTGAAATACGTGCTGGTATGGGGCATTAGTGCACGGCATTACCCACAGCACTGTGGTCTTGCTCACGCTCTTCACGACGAGGATGTCGTCCAAGTTGTTAAGAAAAAGGTAGTCTTTGTTCCAAGAGTTTTTTTTGCCTGTTATAGTTGTTTGTTCCAATGCCCGAGAACAATGTTTGATTTTTCCTCTTTGATTTGGTTTTTCAGGAAGGGAATGAAGGAGCAAGAGGTCGTTTTAAGTCGCATTCTGATGCTCCTGCTCGAATATCCGACAGACAAAAGAAGGCGCCTTTGAAGCAATGATCGAGAGACAAGCCCCCTGGGAGACTAGTTGCCTCGAATTAAGACCGAGTTAGTGGCAGCACTGCAACTTGTTTTATTTTGTATCAGAATCTTGGCGAGGAGTGCTTTGCTCATGTTTTATGGTCGCATGAATCAAGAGGACTTGCCTCAATTTTAGAGGACGTACATTTGAAATTTTGGCCACCAATGGTGGCTGGTGGGTGCTCGAGTCATATACACCTATTTTACAGATGAACGAGGCACGATCTGTTGCAGAATCTATTGGGTTCTTGCTTTTTTCGTTGTCCTGTTATGCTCATTTTCCTTCCTCGTGAGTCATGAGTGCTGTATTTAGCTACCTACTCAGAACTCAAAAGGCCGAAGTAACCATCTTCCATAAAAAAAAGAAAATTATCAATCGTCTCTTTCTCCACCAACTGGTGAGCCTTATCCGTTTCAGTGAACTATTTCTTGAGAAAGCAAAAAAGAGAGCTCAGCTGTAACCAATTTCATCTGAAGCAGATAGGTGAATGGACCAACCATCACAAAGTCACGATTGACCTCACAGCCCTCTATGCACCAGCCGGGAATCGAACCCGGGTCTGTACCGTGGCAGGGTACTATTCTACCACTAGACCACTGGTGCTTGTTGATTTATTCAGCCTTTCAAACTTACTTCAATAGTCATCTTGATTATGAACCACTAACCCTTGTCAGCTCTCTACAGTGAATCATCTAGAGATCGTTGTTCGTACGATAGGAGCTTGACATGGTGTGTTTTTGAATTCAACTTCTACGAATTATCATCTTGAAATTTTCTCTGGTTTATTAGACACCGAAAAAAGACTACAAACTTGCCTTTCTCTGTCAGATAGTTGAAATCATCGTATATTCTTGTCTCTCTCCCAACGAAACAACTACCAAAAGTTTACTGCAATAAAAATGTACACATCTTTTTGTCTACCAAGAACTTTAGTTACTCCTTCCTTGCTTTGCATTGGCTCATAATAAAAAGAGATCGAATAGGACCTTTTGTGTCAAATCTACCGGTGGTTAGCTTGGGACTGATCCGTCGTGCTCTTGGAACTATGATGCAAAATCCTGAGATACTGGAGGTAAGTAAGCAGCCTCTCACTGTTGTTTCATGGAACATTGATGTTTTTTTTTTTTTTTGGTTCGGTTTCGGTTTACAGAGTTGCAGAAGATTGTTGGAGTTGATGATCTTCCCTGTCAAACAGCAACTGCGCCTCCTGTTCTATTGGGAAGCTTGCTTCGGAGCAACCTCAGCCAGCCAAAAACCTGTTTACAGAAACCATTTGCAGTTATCTATAATTTCAGCTGAACAGGTCAATGTAATTCTGCCCGTTCAGTCTGGATAACAGAGAAATACATTCTGGTAGCCATTTGACAAACTAATCCACCTCTGCCATTTACAATTTATTCTCTAAACTTTTCAAACATTAGCCATTATAACTTAACTTATGGATCCACGAACCTATCCTTAACACAACCTACGAACCCATGCACCCATGGATCTAATAACGCAACCATTCGCCACCACCTGTTCAGCATTTTGACGATGGTCATCAACCTGAAATCCAGCTACATCCAGGGGATCTCTTCGTCCCTTTTCCACTTATCATCTTCCTCACCTTCTCAGCAGCTTGCCAATCACTATTCGAAGCGTAGCCACTAGCCAAAACAACCTGATTCCCGGGGTCTTCAGGATCCATCTCCCCCAGTTTCCTGGCTGCCATTTCACCCATTTCTACATCACCATGAAGCCTACAAGCTGCATGGAAAGCACCCCAGATTCCTGGATCATTGGCCAACTCCACATTCTCCATTACAAGATTGTAAGCTCTTTCGAGTTGCCCAGCTCTGCCCAAAAGATCCACCATGCAAGTCACGTGCTCAGCCAGAGGCCTGATCCCGAACACAGAAGTCATGAGCTCGAAGCTCTCGCATCCTTCCTTGACGAGACCTCCATGGCTGCAGGCATTGAGAATGCTGATAAAGGTAACCTCATTCGGCCTCAGCCCTTCATTTTGCATTTGTTGGAACATGCTCAGAGCTTCCTGAGACTGGCCATGGTCTGCCAAGGCTGTGATCATTGTGCTGTAAGTGATTACGTCTCTCTCCTTCATTGCATTGAATTCTTTCCGGGCTAAGTCCAAGGAACCGCATTTTGCGTGCATGTGGATTAGAGCATTCCACACGAACACCCCTCGTCCTGTCGATGAACAAGAGGCAAGGTAGTCAAACTATATATTCCATCAGAACAGAGAAGCATGACATTCCACGGAAAATAGCTTTCACATTAAATCAGGCTATATATGGTCGAGCAAACTCGTAAAAGCGTCAGTTTATACGAGTTTCAACTCGGCATTTTGACAACAGTGTCATCAGCTGGAAAGAAGTTACAAAACTTACCACGACATAGTCGGCCAACATCTGCAGCCAATGTGGTGGCCAATTCAGCATCTCCAAGCTGAGTACAAGCAGAAAGAGCTCCTACAATAGCGACATCACTGATTTTAACTTCTCTTGCTCTCATCTCCATGTACATATCAATAGCTTCCTTAGCACATCCATTTTGTGCATAACACGCCACCATTGCAGCCCAACAGGAAGCATCTTCCGTCTCTCGTACACAATCAAACACACTTCTAGCCTCCTTCACATCACCACACTTGCCATATCCTGCTATCATTGCCACCCAAGTAACCGAGTTCTTCTCGCCCATCTCATCGTACAGCTCTCTAGCTGCTCGCATGTCACCACAGTTTGCATAGCCAGCCACCATCGCAGTCCAGGAAACCACATTATGCTCCTTCATGGTATTACACAAAAGCCGTGCCTCACTCATCCTGCTCATTTTGGTGTAGCCGCAGATCATAGTAGTAAAGGCAACTAAATCCTTGTGGACCATTGCATCGAAGATGCTTCGAGCGTCATCGAGAAAGCCACATTTCGCATACATATCGAGCAATGTAGTTTCGACTATCTTGTTGTTCGGAAGAAGACCGGACTGGATCAGCCTTTTGTGCACTTGCTTGCCTTCCAAGATAGCGGGAAGTCGAGCACACGCATTGAGCACCGAAGAGAAGGTGAAACGAGAAGGAGGGACTCCCGTGCGATGCATTTCGGCGTACAAGACGATGGCTTGAGTGCAACGAGCGTGACGGACATGGTAACGTATGACGGACGTCCAGAGGAACTGGTCTGTGCACTGGGGTATTTCGTCGAACAGTTGGCGTGCATACGCGTCGTTGCGCCCGGGTAATTCCAAGAGTGCGGTGACGAAACGAGGAAGAAGCTGGCGTTTGAGGGGCTTGCTGAGGGTTTTCAGGAAGAGGGTATGGACTTCTTGGAGGTGGTTTACAGTTGTGCATAACTGGAGGAATTTGGTGATCACTGCTCCTGTTTCCATGATGAAGAAGAGGTAAATGCTTTGGCCTCACGGAACCAATCTGTAGATAAAATGGTATCTATCTAACTCAATAGTATGTAGATACGAATCCATGTAGTCAGTAGGTTAGTCGTTAGATATATGCTTGGAGAGAAATCAGTAGAGAAAAAGCTTGCACCTTTATATCTCTATCTGAAGCGGTCATGAAATAGAAGCTGTAGGAATTAAATAAACACAGGTTTTTCTCAGTGTTATTAAAGCCGAGCGGAGCCACTCGGCCCGGCCGGTAAAACCGTCACCCGGTCACAAAATCGACTCGAAACAGTCTAAAAGTCATTCCGGTTTTATGTAGCAGTTGGCGAGCGGCCGAGGCGATTAATCATTCGAGCCGATCGAGCCGCTCGTCCGGTTTTTGCCATTCAGCCACTAAATTTAATTAAAAAAATTGCAGAAAATTGAAAATTGAAATAAACCAAAAACGTCTGTTGATATGACTTGAATCGGACTATCAGCCGCTACGACTGGTAATCGGCTTCAATGTTATTTGGGTTCGGGTTCTGGGCCTGGTCTGTAACCGTTTCCTTTGCCAGATTGGATTAGGTTTAGACCCACATAGAGAAGTACTATAAATACTTCTCATACTCCTCTGTAATTAGGGATGGCAAAAATATCCGTAACCGTGGATACCCACCCGAATCCGACCTAATCGGATAGGGTAAAACCCGAACCCGAAGCATTTTGTGGGTACGGGTAAAACCCGAACCCGAATGTTGCGGGTAATGGGTGGGCATGGTTATCTCACTATCCAACCCGAACCCGCCCGATTATACACATGCATATGTATTTTGTCTAGAAATAATCATTATTTTGCTCTAGAATATTTTATATTTAGCATATAAATATAATATTTTCATGAAATTATGTTGTTTTAATTAATTTTCGTCATTCTAGTGAATTATTGTCGTACTTTTCCTCTTACGTAATGTGAGTATACGTGTGAATGTTAACATATTGGTTGGAATTATAAGGATAAATTATTATCCATGGATAACCGTGGATACCCGAAACCCGAACGGGTATGGGCATGGTTTTGATTTTCTACCCGTTTCTCGTATGGGTACGGGTATGGGTAAAACCCGAACTACATTGGGTAGGGTAACGGATATGCACTATCCGCCCCCGACCCGACCCATTGCCATCCCTATCTGTAATCTCCTCGATATAGTGAAACTGGCTCTCTCTCGCCCGTGGACTAGCTAACACACATCGTGTTAGTGAACCACGTAAATCGTGTGTTTGTGTTTTTCGATTCTCGCTTTCGTATTCTTGCTTTGTCGATTCCGACGATTTCCCGATCCGTAGCAGCGCGTTTATAACAACGTCGGGCTCTCAAACTGAATCCTTATTTCCTTTTCACAATTTCGAAGGAAAGAGATGAGCTCTAATTAAGAAATGTCTACTATTTATACTGATAACGTTTATTAGGTACAAGTTCTCTAACGATTTTAAACGGTCTATTGCCGGTTGGACCACTAAAGTGCGAGCCGTTCGCATTACCGGGTCATGCTTCGGTTCGGTTCTGACAATCTTGAATTTTAAAATATTTAGAAATTCTTAAAATTATCCTTATAATACAATTTTCGACATTTTGGCTAAGATCAAGTGCGTAAAATTAAATTATCCTCATAAGATCGCATTCTTGTAGATGTAGCCATAAGATTAAACATCTCAATCTACTTTAGTATTACCATTTCATGATCTTGTTCGATGTGACCTTCAATATGTTTTCATTTTTCAACCAACCATGATAACGTAAATAAGAGAAATTTAGGCACTTTTGGCAGATAGGCGATAGAAAAAATTGAATTTTTACTGCTCGTTTTGGTAGTTTATTATGTACAACTGGTAAATCATGTGAAGACATAATTAATCAGGAACCATTGAATTGCTTGAGAATTGAGGTAGATGAAGAACAAAGCTTTCTTCCACCTGTCCTTTTAGCTGAGCAGCTTCTTTTTGTATGTT